GAATGTATTCATTGATTCGTGGGGGGGGGTTACTAAAAAAAACACCTTCAGGCCCACCCTCCCTCTCCGCTGGCACACACACACACACACCACTGCTGTTCTGCACTTTAGGCAGGCTAAGGGAATCCAAGGTGCCCTTTGCAAAGATGGCAGATGCAGCTTCCCTACCCTAAATGAAGTTGCAGCTGCCACCTTTGAAAAGGCCTGCCAGTTTCCCTTTCTATAGCTGCGGAGGCCTGATGGAGACCTCGGCAGCAGCGGTGATGATTACAGTAAGGGGGTGTCAGGGGCAGGGGGGGCTAAGGTAGGGAGAGAAAGGGATGGAGGAGTAGGCTGTGGGGGTGGGTGGGTGCCTATTGGACTGCCAATCATCTGAATGGAAAAGCCATACAATGGCTTTTAAAAAAAAATTCATATGGGAATAAATCAAAACAGGGAAATATTTGTCGATCCGTATTTGTTGGGACTTATCATTTGATGAATATGGATCAACGAATATATGACATATCAGCTATATTCGTCAAAAAAAACAATCCATTTTTATATCTGGCCCCATCTCTAGTCATTGGATATCGAAATAAACTCTTTGCAGGAAGAGGAGGAGAAGGGGGAAGCATGGAGATCCCTCACATTTTATCATCATCATACTAGTCAGCAAGACCCATCACAAAACTACAACATATCAGAAGATCAATCCATAAATTAAAAAAGAAACGTGACACTTTCATATTGATTGTTGCATTTTTAATTTTAATTATTTGATATATGGATACCCACAGTAAATTATGGTGGCAATGGGTGATAGTTCTCTACAAGGCAAGTATTGCTGGGATTTTTGAAAATTATACCATAAAGACTAGTGACAAAGAATGCTCCATATAGAGCTTTTCTACCCTGTCAATATTCCCTCATAGTTTGCTTATTGAGAAGCACATTTTTGCAGGTGTTTGCACAACCCTGCTTAGTGTACTACTTACCTTTCCTGAGTCAGTCAGATGTGGGAACAGTCATCCACGCCTCAGTTACATCATACTTTGACTACTACAAAGTGCTCTATATATGAGGTTATCCTCAGCCTGGCTGCCAAGCTGTAGTCTAAAAAGAGCTGCAGTAAAAAATTTCTAAGCTTTGCACAAAAACGCAGTGTGTTATGTGCCATCAAATCAGTTCCAACTTGCAGCAAGGTTTCTGTGGTATGTGAGATATTTAGGGAGCAGTTCTACTGGTGCTAAATCCCCACCCCAAGGGGTTTCCATGGCCAAGTAGGGATTTGAACCCAAGTCTCCTGAGTCTTAGTCTGAAATTCTATCCAATGGATTCCACCAGCTCTGAAAAAGCAAAACAACCGGCATTGGGCTAGGCAAAACTGTCTTCTGAACACACCCCTAGGGAAGCATATCAGTTCCTTAAGGCTACAAGCAGTCGATTGAGACTTGGTAACCCTATTAGAGAGCCAGAATTGTAGCTAACCATTTTGGCACTTGGGGCAAGTGGCACCCTTTCACACCCCTCTACTCTAAACCATGTTCGCACTCCCCCCTGCCCACCACCACAGAAAAGGAAGACAAGAATATGGAGTCCCTTCAAAGAAAGAGAAAATGTAACTTCAGAAAATCAAAATTGAATGGGACTGGGAGGTGGCCCTACACTCATCAGCAGATCCTCATCTAGGCTTCAGTCCTATCTAAAGGCAGGTGCCCTGGGGCAAAGTCTAGTTGCTCCATCCTAGTTACAGCCCTGCAGAGGGCTCCTCCATACTTTCTCAGATGCCGTGAATAACTGCTATTGATGGGAAAGCAGCAATTTAATTAAGATCACCCTTTGGTACTGGCATCAATGTCTAAGAGTACTTTTTGTTCTCCCAGGACTGGAAAAGCAATAGGAAAAGTTATTTTTCTGGGCTAAAATTTCTGGGATTGTAGCCACCCCTAAACCAAGTAACTTTTCCTGCCTCTGGTTGTCTTGAGTTTAAAGAATATAAAGAAACAAGCATTCAAATAATATAAATTTTAAACCAGGGCTAATTTTCTTGTGGGAATTATGGAGGAAGGGTACAGAGGAGAAGGGATATCTTCAGGTTCCTTGATGGCTGAAAGCAACCTTTACCTAACCTTAGAATCTCCCTGGGGCACAAGGATGAAGCAACTGTCCAAGAGGAAGGAAGGAAAGAGGAGATATGCCCAGAAGGAGAGAACACACATTCCCAGACGTCTCTGTACATTTTTCCAGATGAGTGACATGAAGTGTAATATGCAATGGAAAGGAAATACCCTTCTCCCAAGGGCTGGCTGGCTGGCTGGCCAGCCAGTCGGCCAGCCAGCTTACCAGTCTACCTTTTTCAAAACAACTCCCTTTATAGCCTGAATTAAAACCTGTACCGTGCTTTTTCATCACGCAGGTGGATGTTGATTCATGATTTCAGACTATTAGAATTCCCCCGTGTATATACAACAGCCAGCTCAGGCTGTCATGACTCAGCATTTATCAACATCTGCTTCTGCCATAGCTTCTGCCTCCCCAAGCACTGCTTGCAGGGCGGAAGTGACGTTTAAGAGGTAGTAAGCCAAGTGCTGGGGAGAAAAAACATCCGCGCTCCAGATTTCTCCTAATACAGTACTCTGTGGTTGGGATTCCAAGAAGCCTCTCCTTTTTCTTTTTCAATGACAGGGGAACCATCAAGACTTACGAAATCCATGATGAATTTCTGATGTAGCTCTTAACAATAAAGCTGGCAATACAGACAGCTTTGCTGTTTAGCACGTGGTATAGGCAGTGATAATTTCATTGGCTCAAAACTGACAGCACTGGAAGCTGTAGCTAATGCTTATGCAGCAATTAAATGGCAAAACTCTTAATATGTAGACATGGGCAGAGGTGGGGAACTTGTGGCCTTCCAGTTGCCATTTTCAGACAATCTCTACTATTCTGCTGGGAATTTCAGTGCAAAAGCATCTACCATGTGTGGTTATGGGGAGGCAAAGGGCCTCCCCCCCCCAAATTTATTTATTTATTACTCTAATATTTATTTATTTAATTTCTGTACTGCCCATCTGGCCAGAGGCCACTCTGGGTTTTTTACAGCAATAAAAATAACTATAATAACAATAACACATGAAGGCAACAAACCAAAAATTAAAATAAAAACAAAATGAACAGTACACGTAAATACATGTAACATACATAAATAGACGTTTTGTGCAGCCACCCATCATCAATGTAAATTATGTGAATTTCCCCCACTGCCCCTGGAAAAGTTCCCATGGACACCCTTGATGTACTAAGTCTTCCACATTTTCGTTTTGGGGTTTATGTCTCAAGGAGGTCTGAGGACATGTGGCATAGATAGATCTTGGAAAGGTTTCATGGTGGGGTTGCAGCTTCCAGAATTCTCCCATTGTTAGTGGCCATGCTGACTGGAATTTATGGTCCAAAAAATAAAACTTCTCCAGCTCTGGATATGACTACCTAGCTCAGGGGTCTCAAACATGCAGCCCGGGGGCTATTTGTGGCCCCTGCCTTGCCTGCCCCCCCGAAGCGCCCACGTGGCCTTTGCTGTCAGGAGGCAAAAAAAGACTTGCCTTGCTTACCGGCTCTCTCCCAAGACAGCTTGCGCACCCCTACTCCTCCTACTACTACTCCTTGGAGCCCCAGCTGGGCTAAGGAAACTCCTGGGCAGTTTCCTCGGGCTTTTGCTCCACTTGGCAGAAAATCTGATGCAGCCCAGCCTTACCCAGACTCTGCCTCCAGCGGCCCCCAGGTAAATTGAGTTTGACCCCTGACCTAGCTGAAGGTTGCAGCTGGACTCAAGATCAAGAAGCCATGGGACAAGCCAGAAAGTAGTTGGGACTGAAATATGTGTCAGGGATAGGAGCAAATCAAAAGTCAAGACCAAAGACCAATCAGAATACAGAAAACACCATAGATTTTGGGAAGACCATATTGCTCAAGGGCAGGTCAGTTGTTAGAATATGGCCTTCACGCTCCTTCCAGCCCAGCAGAACCTGGTGACCACCAGCCCAGACTTATGCCATGGTTTTCTGCTGCCTGGCTCAAACTGGCAGTAGACCCGTTCCTCCACACTGGTGATGGCATAGTTGCTTCCACTGTGCTGCAGGCAGGTCGCTTGGTGAAGGTGATAGGCAACAACACAGGTATGCCACTGTACAACTGCACACAAATCCCAGACTGGAATGTCTGGGGCACAGAAGAAAATAGTTGTGGGTTGATGTCATCTGTGCCCCATAGTCCTTCAGCTATCTTTGCCTAATAGTAGGGCCAGACCTGTGTCTGTCTGGGAAGGAACAGTTAGTCTGTGGCCAGAAGATTCTTCACTTAGTAGACTGCTGCCTACAGTTTGGTGGCTCACCACTTGGGGAAGATGCATGCCAAGTTAGCAATCCCAGACATTATGAATTAATACAAGAAAAACAATATGTGAAGAAGGTTCCAAAATCTGGGATCATTTACACAAGCATCTTGTTGATGTGCACAATTCTTTGGAGACTGTCACCCAAATGGCATCTATCAGGATGCTGCCACCATCTGGAAGAGAGGTCTCTCTGTAGTACCATCATTGGTACACTAGGGTGCCCGATGTAAATATACTAAATGGATCCATAAAAAGCATTTCTACATGTGTTAGCTTTGAGCCTTATACATGAAATGGTTTCCCCAACTAATAACTTAAGCAATCCACCCTCTCTTCCTGGGAGTTTTATGGCTAGTATAACAGGTAATTACCTTTTTTTTAAAATTATAGTATTGTATATAAAGTATAGTACAAGGAAAAAGGTGACTGCTGAAAATGTGTGTATCTATGCTACCATTTACTGTGAGACAGATACTTTGAGGATGCATGCATAGTACTTATTAACTATTTTGGTGTTTATGCACACTCCTGTGCAGAGTTGAGAATATTTGTGCATCATAAGAACAACTCCCATATTGCAGTGGAAACCTGTGGCTAGTGAGGACCTTACCAATCAAAGGCAATTCAGAATGATCAGTTAAAGGCAGAACTGATTAGACACTGAAAGGCTTTGCATGTTCAAGAAAAACTGTACAGTATTCATTGCCTCTGGATATGCAGAAGGACTTTCAAGGCTTTTGAGATATTTTTAATGGCTTTGATGGGTGGTGGTTGGTGCACTTTGGTGCTCTTTGGGTGAGGCTGAAAGAAACTTTTCACCAGAATATAGCCAAAAATCTGTTTAGACCACAAAAACAAATCACCCGTAGAGGCTTCAGTGGTATCTTACCTCCTTTGGGGAAATGGAAGTTGGTGTAAAGACAAACATTGGGTGTTTGCTTGTTTTCCCCATGCTCAACCTAAGTAAACACCATAAATAGTAAAAAAAAAATCTCCAACAGCTTTCTGTCAGTCAAGGAGTTGGGTGGAGAAGAGAATGAAACTACTTTAAAGTGAATGTAAAATGGTCTGTGGATCTCTTTTTCATCCATTTCCAAGGGATGTGAAGCCACCTTCTGTTTCTAGCTACTGTCCAAGTGGTTCTAGCATCCATATGAATTCCAGGCTCTAAAAGGGTCTGAAATTGTCCAGCTTGGTGACTTCACTTCTAAATGGCTTTAATCTTCCTTGCTTGCTACCTATGAAAGAAAGACACAACAGAGGTTCTTCTAGGTAAGAAAGTATCAGTATCCTTCTCCTCATGCCATTATTTTAATTTTTCCATTTGGTCCTACTCTACTACCACCTTTGGATATGAAAATGAACCTGCTTCCCAAAGATTATGCCAACAGAACACAAGCTTTGGCAGGTTTCAACAAATTGGCAAGACTCTTATAGCCTTGGAGGTGAACTGTGTGTCTGCCATCTGAAATCCAGCTTCATTAACCAGGAAGAGGCATCTCCAGAAAGTTGCCCATCAGCCACAGCAACTATAGCAAGTTTGACAGGGATTCTGGAGAATCCTGGTTCTCTGTATCTCAAAGTTATGTTGTTTTTCAAAAATAAATAAATAAATAAATAAATAGATAGATAGATAGATAGATAGATAGATAGATAGATAGATAGATAGATAGATAGATAGATAGATAGATAGATAGATAGATAGATAGACAAATAGATAGATAGATAAATAGATAGATAAATAGATAGATAAATAGATAGATAAATAAATACCAGTCAGTTACATTCTGTCCCTAGCCCATTGTGCTAGCTTTAAATAACTCCAGGCTTCTTCAGTCTTAAAAACAAGGCTGGATGCAAGTTGGAAACATTAATATCTTCACAGAGCCTCTAAACAGCTCCAATGCAGAGCTTTCCTCTTCAAGGCCTCCAAGTTTTCCAGCAGGTCCCAAACATACAGAGAGAACTGCTGCTGCTTTGTACATGGGGTTGTGGGTGAGGAGAGGGAAAGGCTGATAGAATATGGAGGAGGTGCAGGGAGAAAAGAAAGGGAAAGAATATGGGGGGGAGGGAGAGAGAAAGTGCAAAGATGGTAGTGGGAAACATTCAAAGACGTGTAAGCCAAATGTTGGTGACACTTCAGGTAGTGGTAGCAGTAATAATAGCTGTTGCAGTTAACTTGTATGGCATTTTACTGAATAAGAGACCAGATGATATCATGAGGAATGTACAACCTAAAATTTGACATGTGAAAATGTATACCTAAGCTTAGTTACTTGGGGGAATGGAATAGCATTGGTGCCAAAGGCTTAACTGAAGAGCAGGATGACTCAACTCTGCTGCAGAGCTGTGTAAAGGATCCTGGCCTACATGTACTCCCAACAAACATATGGATATGCTGAATAGGACCATTCCTAGGAGTGTTTTATGGAGTTCTCCCAGTCCATGAAGTATTCTTGCCTCCGTTCTCCCTCTTCCTATGACATGACAATATGGGACTTGCCTGGGTGACATCATTGCTATCATCCATCCTCTTCTACTGCCTGCAGCTGTTCCACATTTACACACAGAGCAGGCAAGTCTAGGCCCAATCCCAATTCACTAAAAGTACACTTGCATCCCTCCCTGTTCTTCCCTCCAGGAAGAAAGGAGCCTGGCGTTGGGCCTGCACTGTTAAAACTGTTGCACACATAGACAGCAAACTAAGCCCCTCATGCCTAAAAGTAAAGAGTCAGAGTCCTGGAATCTGGCCAGGATTTGGAGCATGATGATGAGATGACACCACATCCCTCTGCTGGGCGGAAAGTGCTCAAGGTTGTAATGTGTCCGGTTGCAACTGAGTGATAGCAAGGGAGGCCTCTCAAATTTTGTTAGGGGAAAATGAACGTGCACCTGACTCTGAGAATGTGGAAAGAGAGAACCACCCTCCTCTTAAAATGGATGGAATCCCAGGAAAATCTAGCCCCCAGTCACACGTGGCTACTTGGAGCTCACTTAATAGACTATGGGGTGGAGTTGTCCATAGTCTAAAGTAAACCTAAGGACATGGGAGTTTCACATCAACGCAATTCTCTGTCAGCATCGAAAAGAATAGGCAATTTCACACCGATGTCAGTGTATTCCATGCCCCTCAACAAGTGCCATGGAGATCTGAGACTAGCTGCCCCAAATGCCCTTGATGTTGCCCATTATTAGGTAAAAATTATCTGATATACTAATCAGTTGTATAATGATATTTCGGAACAAAGCACCACAAAGAAACAATCCATCTCTGAAAGAAGACTACTCCATCCTTGACCTTTTCAAATAATGTTTCAGTTTCCTTCAGGGCAGGTGTCCAATCCATAGGAAGCTATGTTTTAAGGGTTTCAAACTGTCAGCTATGAAGGATCCATGGGCCATTAAGAGAGTGGATTAACTTCTGGAACAACAGAGCATGGAAAATTCCTTTTTTGGACTGCAGCTTCTATGATAACCAGAGAATACTGGGATCTGTAATTCCCCTGTACATTCCTAAGCTATGGGGAAAACAGAGCAGAACTCAATGATAATGTCATGTGGATATACCCTATAAAATGTAAAAGAATGAAGGATGCCAGTTCTAACCTAAAAATCTGTGCAAAAGCAAGCAGCCAGGCAGAAGCTTGAAATCTTCTGTCTGAGACTTTAAACAGGATCAAGGAAAACAACAGCCGATGCCAGGCAGTACCCATCTCTCTATCCAGGATGACATCCCAATCAACCAAGTTGTCCAACAAGAAAGCAGAGATGATATGGGGAGAAAAGGACAACCGGTATAAATAATTAAGGCAGGTATTTTTTTTTAATCCATTTACCCTGACTGAGTTTCTCCTGTGCAGCTGTGGATGAAATCTCTGCCCAGTCACTTGGCAAAACAGGATTGTGCCAAGTCCCAGTACATTAGAAGAAGGATGCCTCTGTATGGGAAGTTACTGGGAAGCATGAATAAGAGGAATATTATTACACTTGGTTTCTTCTCATGGGCTTTTGAGTGGCATCTGGCTGGCCAGAGTGGGAACAAAATGCTAGACTAGGTAGGTTTTGAGAGGCCCAAGGACTACCTTCTTGAATTCCTATGTGCTCAAGCACCTGTATTCCAAATGTTAGAAAAGCACTGGATAATGACTTTTTATAACATTGTGGAACAAGGTGTTTTACTCCTTGATATCTTACTTCAGACCTGATATGGTCCCTCTAGTAATTTTCAGAAGGGTGGGTAGGTGGTGGATAGATTTAGTGAAACATGTTTGGCCAAGCCACAAAAGGAAGCATGGGAGACAATTCCATGGCCTAAGGTGAAGAGGTGTCTGCATGAGCCTGTCTCGCTCCTGCAGTCCAGGTGTTAAGGAGGTAAGGGAGGCCTGACTCACGCAACACGGAAAGTGAATCTTTCTATCAGACATCACAGCCTGGGGGTTGAACCACTTAGCAGGGGCTTCATCACAATTCAGCTTTTGGTAATCATTGCAGTTTCTCTTTCAAAACGTCATTTGTTATGATCAACTTTGCCTCTATAACTGTAGACCAGAATTCTACTGCTAATTTATGTCTGTGTAAGAGAAACTGTGCAAGTCTGAGCAGCAAATTGCTGCTTATTAATGAGGTGCTGGTTGCATTCCTGGGCCTATTCATGTTATTACAGTGGTGCCTCGCTTTAATAGGATAATCCGTTCCAGCAAAATTGCTGTTAAGTGATATACTCATCAAGCGAAATAAAAAATACCATTGAAATGTACTGAAAACCCGTTCAGTGCGTTCCAATGGGCTGAATAACTCACCGTCCAGCAAAGATCCTCCATAGGGCAGCCATTTTTTGCTCCCTGTCTTGTGAAAAAGCCTTCCTAAACACAGCGGGGAGCCATTTTGTACATCCAGCGGCCATTTTGAAACCTAACGATCAGCTGTTTTTGATCATCGTAATGCGAAGAATCAGTTCCCGAAGCAGGGAACCGATCATCGCAAAGCGGAAAAAACCCATTCAAACATCATTTTGCGATCGCAAAAACTTCATCGTGAAGCGGATTCATCCTCAAGTGGGGTAAACATTAAGTGGGGCATCATTGTAATTTGCAACCAAGAATGCATCCAGCACCTTGTTAATGAGTGGCAACTGCCAACAATACTTCATAGAATCATAGAAAAGTTAAGTTGGAAAGGGCCTTCAAGGCCATAAAGTCCGACCCCCTGCTCAGTGCAGGAATACAATCAAAGCATATCTGCCATGTGGTTATCTAAGTTTTCCTTGAATGCTTCCAGTGTTGAAGCGCTCACCAACTCCCGAGGTGACTGGTTCCACTGTCGTACTGCTCTAACAGTTAGGAAGTTTTTCCTGATATTCAACTGATATCTGGCTTCTTTTAACTTGAGCCCATTGTTGTGTGTCCTGCACTCTGGGATGATCAAGCACAGATCTTGTTCCTCCTCTGTATGACAGCCTTTCAAATATTTGAAAAGTGCTATCATATCACCCCTCAGCCTTCTTTTATCAAGGCTAAGCATGCCCAATTCTTTCAGCCTTTCTTCAAAAGGCATGGTTTCCAGCCCCCTGATCATCCTTGTTGCCCTCCTCTGAACGTGTTCCAATTTGTTAGCATCCTTCTTGAGGTGTGGTGTCCAGAACTGGACGCAATACACAAGGTGAGGCCTAACCACTGCTGAATAGAGGGGGACTAGCACCCTGCAGGATTTGGAAACTATATTTCTATTAATGCATCCTAAAATAACATGTGCCTTTTTGTAACCATATTGCACCTTTGACTCATATTTAGCTTGTGATCTACAACAATTCCAAGATCATTCTCACTTGTAGTTTTGCTGAAGCAGGTATTCCCCATTTTGTAACTGTGCAATTGGTTTCTTTTTCCAAGGTGCAGGACTTTGCACTTATCCCTGTTGAATTTCATTCTGTTGCTTTCGGCCCAGTGCTCCATCCTATCAAGGTCATTTTGAATTTTGTTTCTGTCTTCTAGGGCAGTGGTTCCCAACCTTTTGCCTCCAGATGTTCTTAGACTTCAACTCCCAGAAATCCTGGCCAGGAGAGGTGGTGGTGAAGGCTTCTGGGACTTGTAGTCCAAGAACATCTGGAGACCCGAGGTTGGGGACCACTGTTCTAGGGTATTAGCTATTCCGTCCAATTTTGTATCATCTGCAAATCTGACAAGGATTCCCTGCACTCCCTCATCCGAATAATTAAAAAAAATGAAGAGCACTAGGCCCAAGACTAAGCCTTGGGGAACACCATTTGTTACCTCCTCCCAATTTAGAGAAGCACCCATTAATCATCACCCTCTATGGTTCTGTAGCCAATTGTGTATCTACCCAACACTTGATCTATCCAGCCCACACCTAGTTAGATTGCTAATCAGGATATCATGGGGCACTTTGTCAAAAGCTTTAAGTCAAGATATACTACGTCTACAGCATTCCCTCTGTCTATCAGGGAGGTGACCTGATCAAAAAACAAGATCAAATTAGTTTGGCAGGATTTGCTCTTGACAAATCTGTGCTGGCTTCTAGTTATTACTGCATTGTTTTCTAGGTGCACAATGACCACTTTATGATCTGTTCCAGAATTTTGTGTGGGACTAATGTCAGGCTGACTGGCCTGTAGTTCCCAGGTTCCTCTTTTTTGCCCATTTTGAAGATAGGGATAACATTGGCCCTCCTCCAGTCCTCCGGCACTTCACCCGTTTCCCATGATTTCAAGAAAATAATGGATAGTGGTTCTGAGAGTTCTTCAGCCAGTTCCTTCAGTACTCTCGGATGCAGTTCATCCGGCCCTGGAGATTTGAACTCTTTCAATGTGGTAAGGTCTTCCTTGACTATTTGTTTATCTATCTCCAGCTGCAATCCTGTTCTCCCCCCCCCCCCCTCTCCCTTCCCCGTTGTTCGGCATTTCA